AAATCAAAGACCTAATGCTTTCAAATGTTCGACATCAGAGATACATCACTGCATCAGTATTTCTGCGGGTCATGAACAATTTAGCTGAAGATGAGAATTCATGACAGCTCACTGGCATTAACTTGTATGGCAGTAGTGTTTACTTGACCAACTGTGATACTATTTTTTTTTTTCTTGCACAGTCTTCCATTTTACTGCAATATGTGGCACAGTTTAGATAGTAACATTCCTACAAGATGATTATTCAGCAGTATGAGTGCTTTTGACCTAACCCCTCTCTCTTTATCTGTTCACACAGGCCATGTTCTGCTTTGTGCAACCCTCTGTCCTGTTCCCCAGCACCAGAATCTGTCTTCAGCATTGCATCTCTGAGTTGCACTGGAGGCAAACCTCCTTTGAGCCTGGCTGGCTCCAAGTCACCTTTCCCCTTCCTCACTGCCCTCCTATTTCTCATCAGTAGCATCACTCAGATCCACAAGGGCCTGACCAGCAAGGTGAGAATAGACTTTTTCACTCTGAGGTCTAGGTGAATGATGATGTACTTGGGAGGGAGGTTAGTATTTGTATCTTCCCAGGCTTAAGAGTGATGTTAGTAGGACTATTAAAAAGGAATTGTTGTGTATTTGTATTTTAAAAATACCAAAGTACTATAGAAATACCCCCATTTTCAGAACAGGTGGGGTGAGGATCTGAAAAATATCTTCTGTCTTTGAATTCTAATATCCAGTTGACACTGGGAATCTGGAATTATAGAGCAGGTGATGCATGATGATGACACTTAAAGGATGGATTTATAAAGAATGTTGAGAAGGGTTAAATAACTGTTGTTTGGCTGAGCAGAATAAATAACTCGGGAGGAAAGGAATGGTTGAAGCATATATAACAAAGAAAAATGGGATAAAATTAAGCAAGGGAATGAGTGCTACAGTGCCTGAAGAGGTTTCTTCCAACTTCTGATTGTCCTGAATTTTTAGAATGAGTGTGTCATGGAAAATTGCAAACTTGGAAGAGGAAATGGCAGAGCCCTAGAGAGATGGAGTAGCTACCATAAGCTTTCTCAAAGCCTTCCTCTGTCACCTCATGTTGAATTAGCTGACCGGTTACTAATAGGAATATCTGGCCAGATGAGAGAAAAACATCGTAAGCCACTGGCCAGACTTCTGCCTTAACAAAGCACTATGGAAAATGTAGGCAGTGGCTGTTGGTTACCTGCAATGGGGGTGGTCATGATGGATGCAAGTGAGCCCTGAGGCAGAAAAGCAAATATTTATCAGACTATCTTTAAATACCCCTTTTGGAGCAGCCAACAGGAATTCTCATGTGAGAAGGTAGGGGTTAGGCCTTGGAGATGGCTATGTTTTACTTTCCTCCAAGCATGAACTGTCTTAGTAGTATTTGTCTCCACTTTTGATTCTTTTATAGTACAGCTCTGTGCTGGGCTTCAGAGGCTTGAAGGATTATCTGCATCAGAGCTGGCAGACCGGCCCTCCCTCTGTAACTCCCTCATCTGCGTGGATCCTGCGCCATGAATATCATCTGCAGTACTTTGTGTTAGCATTGGCTCGGAGAATGGTATCGTCATTAGTCCTTTCATTTCTTTCACCTGAGGAATTGACTTCACCATGGCCTCTCCAACTCAGTGTGTCAGACTGGCAGCTGGTCTTTGTATCCATGTTCTTTCTCATATCTGACTTAGGTCTGGTGACTCTTCAGCTCTATCTTACACCCCATTAGCAAATAATATTTTTACAGTTACTGATGTGGGGATTAAGATCCAAAATACTTTGGATGGTAAAATTATATTTTTGCTGGTCTTTGGGCTAGAGTGAGAACAAACTTTTCAAGTGTGCTGCTAAAAAAGATGTCTGACTACCTAAGACAATCAGCAGAAGCAGAAAGATCTTGGTATGAATGCTGACAGTTCTTGCAGTCTGCCTCGTCTCTCCAGCGAGATCTATGTCTCTGTTGACCCTCCTGTCCTTGTTTGCCTCGTGGACAAATGATAATAGTGCTTTTATCTGTTGTTTTGTTTCCTGTACAGGCAGGCACTTCTCCGGATTACACCCAGCATGCCTCACTCCATCACTGTGTTGCCATGGCATTGCTAAGCCGTCTGTTGCCAGGGAGTGAGCATCTGGCTTATGAGATCCTACTGGATCTTGCCTTTAATCCAGAGTTTCTTCCGTAAGCTTTGCATTTTTTCCTTTCTGTAGTCTGATACATGGGAAAACTTGGAGAAAATTGAAAAAGCACGTGTTGGCACTGCATTTTTGTCATATTTTTTGGCACTTAATAAGGCCTGTATTCAAATTTTAGTTACTCATTGGCATATTCTTCAGTCACGGAGCCTTCTAATCAGACCAGCAGTGTGGTTGCAGATTCCTCTTCAATGTACCAATGTTGAGAAGTGTGACCAGTTTCTTTTGATCTCTGCTATGCCAAAAGTCCTGTGATTTGTGACAGAACTGATTCTCACTGAGACCTAGCACCTGCTGTCCTGAGACTAGTCTAGAAAATACATGGGAATTTGACATAGCCTGAAAAGCTTATTAAATCTTCCTCAAATCCTTATTATACAAGTTCTTACCCAAATTTTTGCTGATTTGGCAATTGTAATGTCTTCCACCTTGCTCTGGAATAAATCATGAGCATCTCAAATGTGAAGCCTCCCATGTCTGGCCAAGAAAATGGTAGCAGTTTATCTTGTTGAACACAATCTCTTTGAAATTTGCCATGGTGCATCCCTGTAGGAGATTGGACCAAGGTGCTGTAAGGAGATACTATAGTTTTCCAGAAAGAAGGAAAGTTTGTGAGTGGGTTGGTTTGTTTGGGTGGTGGTAGGGGGTTTTGTGGTTTGGTTTGTTTGGTTGGTTTTGTTACTTGTTTTTTGGGTTTTTTTGGTCTTGTTTTTTTTACAAATACCTGCTATTCTGTGAGAATTTGGCAAGTAATCTGAGACTGTGGTGATGTGAGAATTTGGCAAGTAATCTGAGACTGTGGTGATTCTCTGGTCTGATTTGACAAACACGCTCCTGC